CGCTGCGTACTCCTCCGCCGTCGACAGGACACGGCCACCAGCGTCGTTGCACGCCACCCTCAAATGCGCCCCAGCCGAGAGCGACAGGCTCAGCGACAGCATCCGCGGCAGCACCGCTCGGTTGCGCACAAAGCTCAGCGTGCTCCCAGCAGCGGTCACGGCGCCAGCGGCGTGGAGCATCTCTTTCGAGACGCCGTCGTGCACGTTGCCCTTCGCCAGAAGCATCGACCCACCGGCCAGGCTCACCGTCGAATAAAACGCAACCGCGTATTCCTCCGTCGACGAAAATTCGCTCCGCACAAGCACCACGGCGGAGCCCGACACGCTCACAGCCCCACGCACAGACACCGCGTGCTTGCACAGCAGGAAGTCGCTGTCAACAAACGCCACCACGGAGCCGCCGCTGGCCGCAACACCGCTCTCCACCGACACGCACAGCCCCAGCGCCGTCTGCACCGACAGCCCGTCCACGTAAAGCGCTCCGCGCGACGACAGCGCCACGCCGCCAACAAACAACACGCCAACAGCGTCACGGAACACAGCCGCCACATGCGTGCGCGCGATGGTCAGCACGCTCCCAGTCAGATTCACGCTGTGCACCACGAGGCACGCGGACGCGTCGCCAAGGCCGTAGGCGCCGCGGTACGCAACATGCTTCTCCGCAATCAGCACCGAGTCCACCACGGTGATGCGAGAGCCCGGCGGAAATCGGTTCGCCACCACCACGCCGCCGCCGGAGCGCGACTCAAGCCCGCTGATCAACACATCGGCGCGGTGTTCAGCAGGCGGGTCGGACCGCCACCCAACAACGTACAGGCTCGCTCCGCGCACAAACGTGCAGTTCGCCAGCGTCACGTTGCGCACGCTCCCTGACATCGACTCCACATCCACCACGACGTCTGCCGCAAAGGTCACACCAACGTAGCACACCACCGACGTCCCGAGACCGGCGTTCACCTCCACATCCACACGCACGTCACGCACGCACAAGTCGGCGCCGTCGGTGCTCGGTGGCTCGGGGACAGCGACAGGCAGGCACGCATCGCCATGGCCGCCCTCCGCGCACGTGCAGGCGCAGCCATCACTCAAAGCCGTCGTCGTGTACGCAGGGAAGCACGATGCCGCGAGGGCGCATGGGTCGCTGCAGCTCAGGATAGTGGCATTGTACACGGACGGGATGCTGTATTTCACTCTCTCACCGCCGTTCACAGTGTTGCACGCGGCCACAATCTCCCCTTTTTTGAGGTCGCTGGAAACTGCAGGTATCCACAGCGCTTTCGTCATTCCCGTGCTGGACATGAATTCGTTGCCAGAAACAGACAATGTGGAGTCACAGAGATTCACTTTGGGATAAAGAGAAGCAAAAGCATGCAATGGGGATTCACGGCATAGGTTGCCGCTCAACTGCAGCCAGGAGTTGTAGTAGATGTTGGAGGAGTACCTTGAATAAAACACAGCCAAGCTTCCCTGCATGTCGTTGCCCTGAAACACAACAGCTGAATGAGACTCCACACGTAAGATCGACAAAATGTTCATGAAGTACTTCACCGGCCTCGACACAACGTTGCCTCGGATCACCAAAGCAGAGCTGTTCAGTACGTTCAGCGGCAAAGACTGTCTAGTTCCCTCAAGATGTATCAGAGTACTGTTAGCGCCAGCCATATGAAACGTGTTGCCTAACACCGCAAACACGGAGTGCCACGACACCCTCAGCGCAGATCTGACAACGTAAATGGCGCTTGACGATGCCGCCACGGCGTGAAACACATTGCCGCTCAGCACCACCGCGGAGTCGTTGCTGATCACCAGCCCATTCATCGCAACACACGACGGCTTCCTAAGGACCAAACCCGACCGAGGGACCAGCCTCGTGACCGTAAAGCGGTTCCCGCTGATCGTGATGTTCGTGTGTTGTGGAAACCCACCCTCCGGGCTGAGCAGCGCGTCACTAAATGTGTTGCCGGTGACGAAGATGTTCAGCGACCCAACAGCGGCGTGCACGTTGCCCAACAGCAACAGCACGGCGCCGTCCCTCCACGTGCATCCATCGAACCTGACATTCGCCACGTCGCCCGTCATCCCCCCAAGCAGCACCGTCAGTCTCATGCCGACCCCGCTGAACGTCACGTTGCGGTAGCACAGCCACGACAGCCCGCTGCCCACAGACTGCGCCACCTCGGGGTACACCATGTCGCTGATGCACTCACCAACCGGCGGCGGTGGCGGCGTGGGTGTTGCTGGTGGTGGTGTTGTTGGTGGCGGCGGTGGCGGGCCAGCAGGCACAGGCGCCGGGACGCACACATCGCCGTGCCCTCCAGCAGCGCACT